TCTTCCGGTTGTGAAATCCGACTCGATTTTTACCTCTCATCCTTATTATCAGCTGATTTTTCTGGCAGTTTTTCGTCTTGTATCTCCACGTCGATACTTTCATATTCTCCGCGAGATTTGCATGAAGCGCAGGTAATGTGCGGAATAGTTAATTTACCGAATTCAATTGATATTTGTCCAGAAATTGGCATAAACGGTGCTGCTATAGCTGACCTGAAACTTCATGATTTCAAATTATACACACTATTCTTTTGAAGCTCTTACAGTATGCAAAACTTTTTCAACTCATCTTCTGTCGGCAAAATATTCCAGTAGTTGAATATCCGAAAATTGATTTAAAATTGTAGATATTCGATTCCGGTGGCTTTTCTTGTCGATTTGTGGAAATAATCGGAAAGACAACAATATATGTTTTACAATAAAAGTTGAAATGAAAAATATTCTGTTCTGTTAATGACAGTGTACGGCCGTTGGGCACACCAATATGGGAGAGGATGTGTAAAATAGTCCGGAAACGAAGAGGACTAAACAAGAAATAACCGGTATATTTGTTATAAACTTGCTACGAGCAATAACTTGTTACTATTTGTTTCCTTTACCTTTTCCATATGTTGCTATTTTCGACAAAAATTCGTACGAAAAAAAAAAACATTATGAAAACTTTTCTTTAGTGGAATTTCTCGTGCAAATCATAAATGTGGGAGGAATGCAAAAAGAAAATGAAAAATAATTTTCCTTCCTAATTAAAGTTTTTTTTTTGTCATTAATGAATGCAAATATAAAACTTAGCTCTTTTGAAAATTTAACTTTCGAATCTTTCAAATTCTAACTAATTCATTTCATGAAGTTTCATTATGATGCTTTTATCGGTGACATTAGCAACGACATGAATGACATCGTTCTACTTGCTACGTTATATTTTTCAGATTTTGAAGTACAGTTATGTATATGTTTCAAGTTATAATTGATGTAAAAATCGAATTAATAGTGATAAAATGAAAGTTATAATCATTGTCTTATGGAAAAACTTTCAATAATTTATTTGCTTCTTTTATGTCTTCTCTAATTGTTTTTTGATTTCAAATTAAATGATAATTGTCCATTTTAGATTGAAATATTTTCTTTGGATATAGTGATAAGCTTAAGCTATGGAAAAAAAAAAGTAGAATTATAGTCCGGCCTAACAAGAGATAGACTGTCACAATTAGCGAAATGATTATGCAAATTAATGCGCAGCATGTTCACATCCATTAATATTCAATTATCAAACAAATGGAATCGATATTATTAACAATGCTAAATGATAATGATTAAGATCATAATGTTTATTTGCAGAAATAAATACCGCTCATTGCTAATTTGCAGACTGTCAAGCGCAAATTGTGTTTTTTCAGAATCGCATGGCAGATTCTGGCCACTTTTCGATTGAGATTTTGTCGCTACACCTTTGCTGAAATTATCCATTGTCGTTGCTACGACTTGTTGCTCTTCTTCAACATCACAGAACTTTTTATTGATGTCACTTGACAATTTTTTGGGATTCATTACCGATGAAAGTTCTATTTCATTTGTGTATACACTGACATAAATTTCGATGTCAGAAACGTAATTGTTGTTGCTGTCGCGACAAAATGCTTGTATGCTAGAGTGATACAGCAGGAGAGAATGGACTGCAAGAAGATCATGTACAATATAAGTCTATGAATAAACAATGTCGCATGAAAATAGCACAGCAAATAACTACTTGCAGTACCGTTTTGCAAACTTATCATATCCAAAGTTTGGCTTGTTTCAATGATATCTTAGATAAAAGAGCTACAGTAAGAAGTAAAGTGGCTACAGGATACAGATTACCTGTCTACCATCCACACTAAGAGACGTATGTTTAAATGAATGTGACATTATTTGAAAATATGGAGGA